GTAACACCATAGGATTTTGTCCACAGACTCAAAAGTTAGAACGTTAATCAAAATAAATAGTACCATGATGTGAAACTACTTTACACGCAGACTCAAAGTTAGAATTTCATACTAAATAAAAAGCACCTTGTGAAAATACTATTGAAGAGGTTTCATTTGAATAGTCCACAACATAGGATTTCATCCACAGACTCAAACAGCATTACTTGGCTCAGTCATTCACTCAAGGGCTTTCTTCCATCGACATAGGAGGGAAGCCACTGATTTTGTATAATTTAATGATCAAAATCCACAGACTAAACAGTAAGAGCCATCTTGTACTGACATCCTTTAGAAAACCACTTCAAGACCTTAATGCTTAAGAGCATTAATGTTTGATCGAAGGAATTTCGTCAACAAACTTGACAAGGATCCTTTTTTCCGAAACGTAATAGACAACACACAGGAAAGTGCAACGTTTTTGTACTTTTAAACCGGTTATCAGACTTGAGGGTTTCACTTGTAATAACACATAAAGTTAGAAACACCATGTGCAGCAAAATAGGCAAGCAACTAGAGAACGAAATTGTATGAAAGTGTATATTTATAAATGGACACAATTTAGGTCTCAAGTCCTTCCCCTAGCAGGTTAGGTCGTACTTTTGAAAAACTACTATAAAGCGAAAAAAACAAATGCTGAAAACAATGAGACAAAGTTTTGATTGGTTAGCTGCAGCAGCTGATGAATTCAAGGAATCAATACATTGAAAAATCGACGCTGAGAGAATACTGTCAAGAACACTAAAACTTTCACCAGCCACTCACTGAACACTGTCTAGAGGCTAAACGCTGTGAAAATTCGAAAATCCCCTGTGCATTGGCCACGCATAGAAAAAGGTTTTAACTGCAGAAAGAAACTCGCACTATTGCTATTATCGCGCACAAATAACGAAAACCAGTAGAGCAGACTACTTACAGTGAACACTGAGAAGCTTATGCAGGTGATCTTAGCTTGATACGATGTTCAAGAGTGTTTAGAACTGGAATGGCTCCTTTGACGATTCAGCGGCTTTACATTAAGCTTTATAGTTTTAAAACGCCATGCTGAGTAATTGGATCAACTCTATTTGCTTCTCGTGCTAAGCTTGTGGTCTACGTTCCTAACGTTCGTACGACGGATAAGTGTTCTACACACGTATTGTTTAGTAGGGTTCCAATGTTTTTCCGGACTACATGTGTTGATGGTATTACCAAGCTGACTTAAGTTGCGAANTGATGAATTCAAGGAATCAATACATTGAAAAATCGACGCTGAGAGAATACTGTCAAGAACACTAAAACTTTCACCAGCCACTCACTGAACACTGTCTAGAGGCTAAACGCTGTGAAAATTCGAAAATCCCCTGTGCATTAGCCACGCATAGAAAAAAGTTTTAACTGCACAAAGAAACTCGCACTATTGCTATTATCGCGCATAAATAACGAAAACCAGTAGAGCAGACTACTTACAGTGAACACTGAGAAGCTTATGCAGGTGATCTTAGCTTGATACGATGTTCAAGAGTGTTTAGAACTGGAATGGCTCCTTTGACGATTCAGCGGCTTTACATTAAGCTTTATAGTTTTAAAACGCCATGCTGAGTAATTGGATCAACTCTATTTGCTTCTCGTGCTAAGCTTGTGGTCTACGTTCCTAACGTTCGTACGACGGATAAGTGTTCTACACACGTATTGTTTAGTAGGGTTCCAATGTTTTTCCGGACTACATGTGTTGATGGTATTACCAAGCTGACTTAAGTTGCGAATTCTTTCAAAATCTGTATCTCTAGAAAATTATCAGCCTCACACCGGTTTTTGTCAATCAACTTACGTATTTACTGAATCTATCCCACCCTCTTTTTTGTCCAAAAATCCTTATAGATGTATGTTTGATTTACTGAAATTTTTATAACGATTTTTTTCTACGCACACGTATTGTTTTATAGGGTTCCAGTGTTTTTCCGGAGTACATGTGTTGATGGTATTACCGTGTTGACTTGAGTTGCGAACTCTTTCAAAATCTGTATCTCTAGAAAACTATGTACTTACACTGGTTTTTATCAATCAAATTACGCATTTACTGAAATTATCCCACTAAAAATCCTTATAGATGTATGTTTGATTCACTGAAATATTTACAATGACTTTTTTTTCTACATTGTAATACCGTGTTAGTACGTATCTCTAATTGTATTACCATATTGAGTGAAGTTATCCCCCTCAATCTAAAACCAACATCCTTGTACCACAGTTATTTAAGTCGAATGTTTAAGAAACCCGTTAGACTCTTTTGTTACATGTTTTTGTTAGCTTTTTTTAATCTGACCGTGCACAACGTTCAATAGCATTCCTATCATTCTAGACTTACTGACCAACAGAAACTTCGCATTAATTTATTCAGTCACAATTTGTGAACAAAAAACAAAGGATTGTGCACGTTCAGGGAGCTTCCAACTTTGATGTTTGCCGCGGGCTTTCATAACCAGCCTCCTCTACTAACAATGCTGTACAGTCATCTTAAATATGATAACCGTATTTACCGAGATTATCTCACTCTCTTAAAGCCAACATCCTTCACTGGTCACTTGAAAAGCGACGGAATAACGCTGACAACACACGATCTATTAAATCGTTAAATAACCAAAAGTTAAGTATGGTTTTAAAAACTTGACCCGGATGTTCAGCGGTCAATTTGAAGGACGGATAACAATTGAACTTTTTTTGTACGGCTTTACAGTGGTTTAAGGAGATTATTTCTATTACGTATTAACAATTACAATAAGGTCAAGAATGTATCCCCTCTGCGCATGTTGTCGAACCTGTGGATCGAAGTTATATGTTTAATCCAAAGACGGAAGACTCACTGGAGAAAGGATTTGGGGAATTTTACAGAGTATAAAACCATTGACGACTTTCACGTTTTAGTCGATAATTTATTGTCAAAACGAATCTAACATGTTATCAACCGTAAGATTATTATCCAAAGATCCTTTTCAATTTTTTCTTCTGCCGTGTAAATTGAAATGCGAAAAAACGCTGTTAAACCATGGCCTTCCGGAGGGGGTGGGGAGGGGAACTTTCTATACCCCGCCCGAAAGGGGTACCTTTTTCAGGCTTCCGTCATATATATGAAAGGGTAGGGCTTTTACTAACTGAAGTACACCTGTCATTTTTAGTCTGTAAGAAAGCCCAGAAGGTTTTACAGGTGCATTTTAAACGTTCTGGTTTAGTGGTTTATTCTTATTTTGAAAACGGTGCATTTACAGCGGTTAAAACTCGGATGCAAAGTTCTAAATAAGGTATATGAAAGGGGTACCATTTGTCAATAGAAGGTATACGAAAGGAGGGGTTGGGGTTGGTAAGTGGTTGGACCTCGGGACGGACCCTCCCAGAATAAAACTTTGTTGAATACCCCCTCCCCCCACCCCCTGAGGCTGGCCTTAATGTTGTTGGCAGTTGTTCAGTCTGTTGTAAAAAGGACGTGCCGCAGCCGTCGATAGGAATGTGCTAATGGAAACGGATAAGTTACGTTAGAGTAACCACACTTTAAACATAAAGCCACTCCTTTCGTTTTTTTTTTTTTTTAGCGAAGGAAATATCAAGAATCCTTGAAGTTTCCGTTATCTTGAATTGCTTAACCTTGACTGTAATTCATGTGTACTATTTTAGTCTTGGTCACCAATGTGTCATAGGGTGATCTAGAATGCACTTGAACGACCAAAATAACTGCTTAAAGAAGGGAAAACAACACGAACAAAACAGGGAAGCTCAATCTGGTCAAGGCGGGCAAAATTGGACAAGATTCAAATGGACTGATTTGGGCTGAACTCAAACTTGAAAAACGTTTACTTTAAGTTCAATAAACGTGCGAAATGTAATGCTTTTCATTTGTAAAGTGATTACCATTTTGTCAATTAAAGATATTTGCCGTGTTAATAGGAAGTTAAAGCCATTAATTAACGAATATACACACAATTAACAATAACAATAACATCGTGACCTAGACAGGGTTCTACTTTGTGGTATTTTAAAAAATGTTAAACATGGAACCAATTACTTTCCTTGAAGTCAAACAGGAACGTCAACAAAGTTTAAACACTTTTGGACTCAAAAGCGTATAATGGTTTTAAAGTCCTCCACTGAATTGCATATTTGTCTAAAACCCAGGCTGTTACACTCGCTTACATAGTACAGGAGAAGTGTAAAGTCTGGCACGATTGGCATTTAGCCCAATTCCCAAAACCTGGAAGGGACGACACTCATTAAAAATAACCAAAATCAATTCAAGTCAAGAGGAGATAATTGAAAGTGAAAGCATGCCAAGTATAGAGCCAAGCTAGATTGGTTTCCTTTAGGGGTTGTTGAATACCAGTTTTCCGACGATAATCCCCGTCTCTTCCTTAAGGGGTACCTCCCTCCATCTCGAGTGTAAAGGATCACTGTAAACGGTCTCTTAGAGTTAATGAGTTCGTAAATTCTAGTGTGGACAGCGAAAACGTATACGACGGGCTGGTGTGACATGGCCTCATTTTGGTACTGTAAAAAACTTATCTAGACCTATGCGTTTTGTTTCAGTGTTTCCGTGTGTACAAGTCTACATGCAAGACAGACGCCGATTGTCGCCCTTGCAACGAAGCTCAGTTAATATGTGAAGACAGCGAATGCGTCAGAGAAAAAGTCATGTTCGCTTAGAACACAAAGATGCGCCACTTGCGAAAGAAACACACTTTACACTGATTCATATCCAACATATTCCGTGGATGATTCCCTTCCGGTTGGAGAATGGCCGTGGCAAACAAATTGATTGAAAACAGCACAGTTTGCTTAGCGGTCAACTATTATACTTTGAAAGTACCTTTTCAGCTAAGAACAGTTTCTTTCGATGTACATATAAGACAGAAAAGAGTTGAGTTATTATGTAACCCACCTATAAATTTATTGACAGTTTAGCATATATTTTTGTACATTGTTTAAGTAGTTACCGCTCTAGATGCGTAGCCACTATGCCATCACGCGCGTAAGTCGCAACAATAGCACGTAAGCTGGCAATGAATTTGCAGTAGAAATGACAACTCAAATGACCCCACAGGTCATGGTAAAATACATACTTTTACAACCACATGCACTCCATTAAGTGCCTATTTTCCGTTAGGTGTTTGCTATCGTCACTAGTTTTAACTAAACCCGGAATGGGGAGGTCGGGGGTTGCGTATCAGAACGGATATCTTATGTCTGAGTTAGTAACGCTCCTCCGAATTTAATCCAGTGACCTTTGATTCAAGCAGAAACTAAGAACGTAAGCTTTCAACTAAAATGAACGTTACAGAAGACAACAATACGTGCGTTAGTGCGCTAAAAAAAGTTTTTTAGTCACCAGCTGGCTGGCTAAAAAAAAATAGACCTTAACATTTCGTAGATCGAAATGAAATGGAGCCCAAATCAAATCGAAAATCAAATCGAAATAAAAAGAAATCTTGAGTGTTAAACGTAAAGCCAATTTAAAGTTAAAATACTCTAAAACCCTCTGACAAGTTTATTCTGAAAGTACTGATATAACTGATATAAATCGTTTTTGTCCTGTCCGTCAACCCACGTCATTTCCAGCACAACACAATCAGGTGGCAGCTCACTACTTATCTCAGCACCAGCCCCAACTCGAACCACGAACGACAAGAGAGATCTGGGGAGAGTACTGCCTTGTTGAGTATCATTACTTCGTGATGGATCTTCGCGCGATTTAAATTCTGTGACTTGAGAAACGTCAGAATTTGTTAACGTCTCATTGGCTTTTAAGCTTTCCGTACCTGTGCTTTTGTCTCCTGAAGCATCTTGGGAGTTGATGTCATTAAGAGTAGTATCTTCTGCTGTTTCTTTTGCGGCTAACTCTTCATCATGAGTCTGACAGTCTCCTTGGTTTTCTTGTCCAACTTTTTTTCTAAGCAGTTCCCGCCGTTTTCTCCGCTGATGGGCCCAAGTTTTGTCTGAGGCACGACAATGGAAAGTCAATACCCCAGCTGATTTGTCTGTTTCATCATGCTCTTCAGTCACAGCAACCTTAACGATAGAATGCAACATAAAATATTCAACTGAGTATTCTAAAGTATGAAATATAAGCTAAATTATTAAAGACAAGTAGGGCAGCTTTCCCACATGCGAATGATGAAGCGAACGATTCCCCTTATAAGGATCACGAGACCTGCCACAGAGAAAACTAAAGGAGTGTTCTAGCAAGTTGGACTTAAATATGTACGACGTAATATGGGATGACTAGACTCATACAAGCCTGTTCCAGGCTCCCAGTTTTTTCATGCACTCATTGTTCTTTTGGCTTGTTCTTCACTGGCTGATAGCCTGGGACAGGCTAGGCTCTTAATCGCGTAGTTGCATCAAGCCATAACTCCAAGAGAACAAATTTTCATCATTCATCCCACTAATTATCACAGAGTTTCATAGTTGCTACGAGCCCCCAGGCGAGCAGTACACTTATCTTTGGGTCCTCTGTGGTTCCTTGGGTGTCCTGTTGCTATCACGGCATAAAATCAGATTAACGTTTGTCAGAATAATTTTTAGCACGTATGTCCTACATTGCCAATCCAAGACCAAGAGGTTTGTCTAATTGCGCTAAGTTTCTCACATTTTGGCGCGCGCAAACAGATTCACAGTTATTTTCGTATGGGTAAAAAAACTAGCCAATAAAGACCCAAATCACAGAAAAACTCGTGATTGTAAGACTCCCAAGTAGTCCTTTATCCCACAACTATTCACTGACCCAATTAAAGGGTCTGTAAGTAGCAAAATGTGTATGTCAGTTCATCGTCTCTCAGACGATGTTTTACTGCCCCGCGTCTGCTCGCAACATTATACTTACAATTTTTAACCTTTCGGTTAAAATGAATAGGGTCCAATTTTGCGCAGGGATTACCAGACACAGGGAGGTACTTACCTTTAACTCATACAGTGTCTTCCTGATATAATCTACTATTGCCTTCACTCTGTCTGTTAGTTTAAGCTGCTTGTCGCATCCTGTCTCTGTGGCTGTAACTTCATTAGGAATAATCAGCTGAAGAGGCTTTGCCTTTTTTGCTTTTTTACGGCGTTTTGAAGGAGATTCCTGAAGGAGAGGAAAGAGCATAGAGGGTAAGTTATTTTAATCACGGAATCTGGGAACTTTGGCTTATGGAATCCGGATCCTAGGCTTTGACATCTGGAGAAAGCTCAAAAAATCCAGTATCTCTCAAACGATTGGAATCCGGAATCTAAGTTCCACTGACAAAGAATCCGAAATCCAGTAGGGGGAATCCAGAATCCAAGACTGTCTTGGATTCCCTTACATGAGGCGAATATACATGAACACAAGAAATGCAACTAGTCCAAGCACAGATAAACATGCTGGTAGCAAAATAAGATAACTTGCAACTGGTGGTACAGAGTAAAGGGATAAGATTAAGGGTGATTATGAATCAAAAGAATAGTTTGTCCTACCAATAGTAAATGTCCTACCAAAATCCTACCATACCTGCATGACCACATCAGGTAAAAATGACCAGGCCACACCCCAGCGCATTGTGTGCCCCTGGCAAAACTCAGTGGTTGTTATAGTCTTTATCTGAGGGAGAAAAAGAGACTGACTGTTGACAGGTTGGAAACAAAAAAAGTATTTGAAATTAGAAATGGTCTCTCTTAGTGTATACAAACGATCTGCAGGATTTTTGAAGCCATTGGCTAACTGCATACAGGAAAAAGAAGTAAGTAGGAAGTAAGTCTCACTTGTCCTTAACCTGTGATTGATTTACTCTGGCAAGGCAAAACTAATCATAAAATAAACTATTCAATACTTGCTAGATAGTTTTGCCAGTATCTCTTTTAAGCATGCATTTCAGTCTTCCTGACATAATTGCTCTATCACTGGGCTTTCTTAATTCCACCTGATGGGGGGTGGGGGGGAAGTGGGAGTTTTTAATCTTTCTTTCACAAACCCCGACACGGGCACTCTTCCACCCCTCCCCCTCCGCCAAACAAAAATCAGAGGCATATATTTTTTACCTCTGTTTATCTCTACTGACCGATTACTTTTTTTTATAAACATTTTTTTTTTCCGACTTCTTATTTTTTATTTTTTATAACAGATAATTAACATTTCTTATCTCTTGTGTTTTTTACATGTGACAAAAAAAAATTTAAAAAAAAATGTATATTCTTTTGTTTGTGGTTTATTTTGGTGGGTTCCTTTTTAACCTCTCTTTTCCGTTTTCTCTGTTTCTTTTCCCCTCCGCGTTTGTTTTTCTCCCCCGGCGGGGGGGGGGGGGGGGGGAATGGGACTGCTGCTGCCTTCCCTTCCAAACCCCCTCCCGGCCCACTCCTCACCCCCGCCCCCTCCTCAAAAAAAAATTGCAAGGTAGATTTTTTAAGCCTGTGCTAGATGCGCAACCATGATCTTGTTTTGATACAGATATGTATCATAACTCTACTTACATTATTTTCTTTGAGAAAGGCAAGAATAGGGGCAACACTTGACTTCTTGCCAAGCATTGTAGTGTACCAGCTAAAAATTAAAGAAAAGAGTCTAATTTAGCACTTAAATCACAGACCACTGTTTGATCATTATGCACAGAACACAATAAACACATCAAACATAGGTCTTATTTTATATTGAATTAACAGGAAATAAATGAAAATAGGTGTTGAATTGTTCTCTGCTAGCAGAGATCTCTCACAGCAAGAAAAAAAAGAAAATGTAATTTATTTTTGAGTTAAGTACAGAAACTCTTGTTCGAAATAAATATTGCAGTAATCCAGTTACATGTGCATTACAGCCATGGGTCACAATACCTGATTTGCTCTTTCATAACGAGGCTGTCTTTGATAATTTCTTTAACAAATTCCACCTCACCCCCTCCAGCAACAGTTTCAGTTTCTGTTCCAGTGCACACACCACTAGGCTGAGGACGTTTGGTGCTGCGTGTTACCCCATGAGAAGCCTCAAACTCATTCTTAAAGAATGGTGGATTGCACATGCAGAAATCAAATTCTTTATTGTCTTCCTCTTCAATGGGTTTCTTGAGATAGTTGTCATTGGTTACCTGTTTCACTAAATGAAAATATGAAATTTTTAGCTGGTCTGAAAAATGCTAGAATTATTATTTTTCCTTATGGACAATGTTGTTTTCCCAGTGCAAAGGTGATATTGTTGACATATTATTTTTTGCCATAAGGTTGGGATTAACCGGTAAAAAAGAGCAAAATAGGGGGAAGAATGGTTGTCAAAGACTGACCATGGTTTTCCAAATGACACAAAAATTTTCTGGACAATCTGGTTGGAATGGGGGATGCTATCTCTTCCAGAAATTTTTCACAAGTATGAGCTGCATTGTCTAATTTTTCACACTCCAGTTAATTAATGTATCATGGATAGTAATCTTTAAAACTAGTCAGCAAAATCTACAGTGCGCATGAAGGCTTTCTTACCTTTAATATTATTTTCCAAGCCATTGCTTTTCACATTGTCTACAGCATATGAAACTGACAAGTCATCTACCTCAGTTGCCAAGAAACGCCAGTTGTTGAGTTTAGCACCTAACAGTGGATAGATGCAGGAGGCACCTGATCCTAGTACAAAATAACACAAAATGGCAAAATTAAAAACAAAAAAACATATCTGAAAACACAGTTAGGTTATTAAGGCAAGAATGGCTTTATTTTTTCACCACATAGTCTATTAAATTAATGCAACAAATGCTGAACAAAGGCCCAGCAAAAAGATTAAGGGTTGGGGGGCGGGGGCGGGTTGCAGTGAACTGAGGGAGGAAAATGTGAAGATTGGTCAGAGATTTTGTTTGCAATTAATGAAAGCAACAAAATATAATTTAAGAAATTGATCCACCACAACTCAGTTCTGCTTATGATCCACCAAAACATTACCATTTTTACTCGTTGCTGATCGCAAACATTTATTATTATTATTGCGTGACACTTCCTAAGCTACAGATAACAAGAATTCAATAGCCTGCGTTGCTAGCTGGCTGTTACGCAGGCGATGAATGCAATCAAAACCCACCCACAAAATACAGCCATCAAAAAAGATTATTTGTCTTACAGAAAAACTGTTAATAAAATGATCGGTTTCCCTTTCTATAGTTTCGAAAACGGTTTAATCGCGTTTTATTAGGAGACTAAATGAGAAATTCGTGATCTTACCAATGTCAAACCCACGCACAATTGCGTGACAGTGATCTTCTGAAAGGCATGAGAGAAGATCTTCGATCCACAAGACGTAGTTAAGCCGAAGAGGCACTGTGGGGATAAGTCGATCTAATGGGATGCTGATTTTGATCTTGAAGTCATGCTCGAGCAAAGCGCAAGTTAAAGCTCGCAGCGCCTCAGGATTTTTAAAATTCAAAGTGAATCGTCCGGGTTTGGTTTCCTTCGTATGCTTCCTAAAGTAGTCGAATTTTTCACCAAGCACTTTGAAATCTGGTGGAGCGTTTCTGTAGATATTTCTCGGGTGCATGAGGTCATTAAAGCCCATGATGTTCGCATGAGTCAAAGCAAACCATGGAAGCTTTGGTTGCGGCCATGTTGGACGTGAAAGCTGGCATGTAGTGTCCAGACCTCTTACGCGGTTTTCCAACTAGAGGTTAAATTTTAATCCGGGTTCCTTTTTTCTTTTATTCCAAGCATTTTCTCGGATAGCCTGAATTTCATCCGATGGCTTCGAGTCGTTTTCTCCTCTCAGCAACGTTACTGAGGGAGTAATAACGACTCCAAGTAATCGGATGAAATTCAGGTTATTTCTCGGATAATAATAATAGTAAAGGTAACGATAACGATAATGATGATAATAATGACAATGATGATAACGATAATAATAATAATAATAATAATAATAATAATAATAATAATAATAATAATAATAATAAAAATAATGATAATAATAATAAATACATTCGATGCGTTTGAAGTGAATTTTTTAACTATGTATAAAATAGATAATGTTCAGAAAATTTGGGTTGGAAATAAAGAAAGCTGTGGAAAAGGAAAATATATATATTGGCCCTTCAGCGCTCACGTAGTATGATATTAGCCTCCGATTAGGGGTATGACAGATTAAGTAGCTTAAAGTGTTTTCATGAAGAATAAAAGTCCACTTAGTGCTGAAAATGAGTTTATTAATTACTTAAACAATGGCTTCTGACGAAGTGTTGGTTAAAAAGCAATTTCGTTCAAAGACAACTGCAACTCCGCCCTTAAGTGGTAAACAAGCAAAAAATTTCCTTCAATTGACCACCGATCAAGTTGCTTCGGATGTTAAAGTTTAGTGTGCCGCTAGTACTAAACACATATACCAGTAGTAACTGTTATATAAAGCAGCGTCACTGCATGATGCCTTGTAATCAGGGGCACCCAACGTCAATTTTCGGAAAATATCTGTTCGGAAGACGATTTGGGATCTAGAATTTTCGGAACATTTGTTGTAAAATTTCTTGCTTGCCTGCCAGGATTTTGGAACATATAAAAAATGGTATAATTGCCCATTTTTAACGGATTTTTACCCTAAAAAGGTCACCTAGAATTTTCGGGAGCCTTTTTTGTGGCTGAGAAGGTTCGAAAAGGTAAGTTTTGATCCCTATTATTTTCGGATCATTAGACTTTCAGCTAGGAAATCCGAACTGATAAAAAATTTTTAGGAGATGAAAATATGCCTATACCTACCGTTTAAATACTAAAATGCGTTCATTAATGCTATGTTTAAGTGGTTTTGGGTGCTCCTGTTGTAAATTACTTCCTTACTTCTTTTGGGCTTCACGCCTTTCGAGTCTCACAAGTTTGATTTATGACAAGAAGTGACTGTCTATTGACATTGACATTGCCTTTCTTCCGTGCATGTTTGTTATGTTATAGGTTAAAAATTGGGCACTGAATTAGCTACAGCCGGCAAGTTGTGATGGTTACTTTTAATAAACCCATTCTGTCTATCTTTTCTGGCCATACAGAATTCGCGATTCTTAATAAAACAACCTTCGACGAATGAAGGCGAAATACTTTTAAGATCAGCTGTGATCAACACAGAGTTGCATTAGTATATATATAGCAGGATATAGTATATTGTAGTATATAGTAATGTATAGTCTATATTAGTATATGTATAGCTCCTCACCTGTCTTTAACTTCTTCAGGCTAGTTAAGGGCTGCCCTTACCCGTTAATTTGCTCTTTTTTGGACGTGGTACAGTAAAACGCGTTTCAGTTTTCCCGCCTTCGTTACCAACCTCTACATATCCCAGATACTTGTTACGCTACTTCTAAGTTAAGGACCATAAATTAAACAATGTCTCTAAAATCACGTGCACGAAGGTGCGGCATTTTGTCTGATCGATATTATTAATCGTTGTAGTGAGTGTCTTTGCATTTGAGAAGAGAACGTGGTGTCATCAAAAGACCCCTTAAAAGTAGAGTGCCTTTTTTCCTGATATCATCAGTATTGAACAACGATGAGTTTATCCCGTAAGTCCAAGGTGATTGCGGTAGGCGTCTTATTAATAGTCGCAATACTTGCAGTAGTGACATTTTTGGCCGTATACTATACCTTACCAACATCAACTAACTTAACAGAAGTCAAACTGGAGAGAAACGAAACTCTGACATATCGAATGGTTCAAAACGTAGAGGTGAATCTGGGGGAAAAGCAGAAAGGTAAAGTTACTTAATAGTTGTTGAACAGCTCTACACAGTTGTCTCAAACTTTTGATTCGGCCCCTGCATGCCAGCCTGCAAGACAAGCACGATACTTGGCCACTCAGACTGTGTAACCGTACATAACAGAACAAAAGTAATGTATGATAGACGAATTCAACGAATTTTCTCTCCTGTTATTGTGAAGCATTTCCAAAGTGTGCCGACCTTTTGCGACTGACGAAATATAGTTCTCGTCTAGAGAAAGGAATACTTCGGGGGAAGACTTTGTAGTGGTATATGTACTAACAGGGTTTTACACAATTTTCCTAATTCTTTTTGCTGAAAAGGATAAAAATTCGATTTACATGCGCATTAGTGCGACCCTTCCGTTTAACGCCGGTTGCAAATTAAACATTTTTACGTGGTGCAAAAGTCTGAAGGTAGTTCGAACGCGTTAGCGACTTCCGTGTTTGTGTTATGTCTCCATGGCTTGAATCTTTGTTTGACGTCACTATTAATCTTCAGTTTGGTATCACCAAATGCTGCCCAGCGCGGATTCTATCCATGTTTGTAAACTTTCCGAATGCGCAATACTTTGAACTCAGTTAGGTCTTATTGGCAGTTGACATTGAAAGTTAAACACGTTTTGACGTTTTTCAAATACCATAACTAGTTGGAGTTTTGAAAACGATTTTGCGTTTAAGTCGCTGTTGGTTCCACGTTCATCATTTCTATGGTTCAAAGCTTTTCTTCAATATAAACAAAAACTAGGAATACAGCGAAGATGATGGGTTGGCCTTTTCTCTGGTCAATTCGCTAGTTTAATTTGTTCAGAAAGCCGGCATCTCTAAAAAAATCCTGCGGGATAAACAAGGCAATTTAATTGAGACAAAGATATTATATTTTTGATATTTCTTTCAGCGCGTAGTTTCTGTAAACAACACATACATTAACCATTATAAGAAGGCGCTTATATCGTTAATGGTGCCTCTTGAAAACCGCAAGGAAAGAATAAAACCGTGAAATTGCAATTGACAGAAACCGAAGACAAGTTGACAAATTAAAGAGGCCAAATTCACAAACCCCTTTATAGTTTTAAGAAAAAAAAAACACATCTTAGCCTCATTCTTTGGTTAAATCCGTATTTTAAAGAGGTTTTACTAACTTTCATCAGTGCGATCTAAACTAACTGTTAACTTTGTTCATGATGGTAGGAGCGAGTAAAGTCACAATATTCGGTGCTGCCAGGTAATAGAATCGGCCAAGTAATTTCTGACATAAAAGTCTGAATTACAAACACAACTGCGCCTGAACTGTAGAACACAAAGTCTGCGATTCAGCACTAAATTATTGTATCAATTACACCAAAATATGAGAAACGCAAATAAGGGAATGTTAAATGCATGTAAGCGCAAACTTCCTTTTAAACTCTACTGTCCAAGGGGAAAATGTTTTCAAGCTGAAGCCGGGTAAAATGCTCAATGAAGACTTTTTTCCCGTTGATTATGATTGGCTAGTATTATATATATTAGCATGGGATCTGGTAGTTAAATGTTATTGGCTAGTGGCATTTGTTGCTTCATTTTCATTGGCTGTTTAACTGTGTGCTTTAGCATGTCCTATTACAAGCTGCTTGCAGTCGTATGGGTCAAATTTGATGACTTTTTTCCTATTAACAGTATTGCTTTTCTTTCCTGACTTATGAAGGTACCCTCCACGCAACAGTTGGAATCCGGGTCCTTAATAAAACGTCTGAGGGATACTGGGTCCTTATGAGATTCAACCTGTCACACGTGGGGGAAAATGTGGACATAGGTCGAGACGTCCTAATAAGGACAAACTACTTCCTGGTTCGACTTCAGCGGCTAGATTCAAGGTGATTTTAAAAATTTGTAGCTCAAAAAGGTGAAAAGAACAAGAATCTGTGAGGGGTGAAGGGGTTGGAGCAATGTGATTATGTAAGGATAAAGGGCTCGCGGTTTCGATTAGCGATAACTCACTTTTTTCTTAACTATTATTATCACAACCAAACAAACTCCCACAAACTAGTTACGCTAATAGGCACATTTAAACGATCATGAATATTATTATAATATGTTTTTTCATTGCAAATGATTTGTAAGGACATTTTTGGTGAAACTTTTCGGTGAAACTCACCTGAAGAGATTGCCCGTGTGTTACCAACCACTAGACTGTCACTAAAGCAAATGCGTTCTGCTCGGAGTTCGATTCGGCCGGCACTGGTGTCCGTCTCTGCTCTTACCTGAATAATTATAAATAACAACCAATACAGCGAAGATTTTAAACCGTTAGCATCAGGGCTGGATAGTTACATCAGTGGCACTGTTGAAGTTTAACTTTGGAACCAATGCAGTTGCCAAACCCAAAAATTTACTTACGGATAAGGAAGATAAACCGTAACCCTGTGTCACTAACCTTGCACTGAATAAATTATGAGGGACGTTAAAGAACTCACACACTGCCGCCGAAAGAGTAGGGGACGTAGTTCTTGGTGTGGTGGTCTATCTCAAATTCACACTCACATAGTCATTCCTTCATTACTTGTGAACTGCTAAATGAAGCAGCAGTGGCAGGTCCAGGAGAAGCCCCCCCTCCCCCCCCCCCCTTACCCTGAAAAACCCTTAGGGTTTATTTACAATCTTCATACGTCTATATTTTAGAACAGCAAACAACGGAACTGGAAGATTAGTTGAACTTTATGGGAATTATTCCACCAGTGAAGAGCTTTTGCGTCTTGTGTTTGGCATTCTTGAACAGTTACTCCCATCGCTCAAGCGAGACCTGTACGAAGACGTGGATGGTATAAAGGGGGCTGGATTCAACTCGATTCACCCTGAGGAGTCTCTTCTGCTGCCACATCCTGTAAAAATGCATCGAGAAGCAAACACTTCTGATAAGGATATCATCCGGATAAGGAATCATTTTAACAACTCAGATTTCACAAACACGTCATCAGAGGTTGATGTAGATATGAATATGACTTACTCTGATTTTGCATCTGTCAACAAGAGCAGCGGAATGATACTTGAGAGTAGCTCTCATCTTTATACAGAGTTGAACTTAGGAGAATTTATTGACAACAACGGGGGTCTGAATGATACGATATCAACCATAATGAAAGTTAATTTGACAAGGCACCTGTGGCTCGTAGAAACAGAAAATTTCGATTTTTTGAAGATAAATCCAAATGTTTTTGTGAAGCTTAAAGTTTCAAAAATGTCCACTTTTTCACTCAACGAAACTGAAAAGTTTCCATATAATGCTACTAATTCAAGTGAAATCCCGACAAACGTTTCCGCGCCGATGCAACAGCACAACTCAACCAACTCGTCAATCACCTCTTTGAAACGCGTTCGGAGAGCCAACGACGAGGACAATAAAATTATTCGTGAAATATGGGCAAAAACGGAGCCATTGCACCTTGGTGCGGAGAAAACATTTGTGCTGTTTGTGAAAGAAGTTCTTGGATTCAAAGTGAAGGGAAGTGCTATATTCTCTGTAAAGTTCGGCAGTGAAGGTCTTAAAGAGGTAGTTGTCAACTTCAAGTTATCAATCGGAGGTAAAAACCTGCCGGCCATACTGTCTATTAAGTACACAAGATCTCAATTGCAAGGAAAGCCTGTACTTTCTGGACATCAGTGGCAAATGAAGATGGTGAGACTTTTTTTAAAACATCTATTTTTTGTGTAATTCTTTGACAGATGATTGGATGTAATAACTTATATACATTTCCATCTTTAGCTAAGCCCTTCGTCGGAGCAATAAGTGGTTGGGCTATACCGCTGTGGGCAGGATTTACAAAACCATCCTTAGTTTATAAATACGATTTGTTTGCAAGCGTCAGGCTCTATTAAAAGTGAGAGATAATAAACCAAAATGATGAAGATATTCTCTGGTTATACCCTACCATTAAAGGCCTGCTGACAGGCTAGATATGTATAAGTATTCATCTTTTTTAAAACATCAGAACAGGGGAAGAGCAGTTTAATTCTCTCACAGTACTGACAGGACTAACACAGTACTTACTGTTTAGTTTATTAGAAGAGTATCTTTATCTTGTTTAGAGTGTTTCTGTTCCTGTACACGCCCTGAGACTTGGAGTGGACTTTGCCTTGAAAGTCAAAGTTAATATCAAGCTGAGCTTTCCTCTTTCTAAGAATTCACTTAATCCCGTCAAACTAACCGTGCAGGTATGTACAACTCGTCATAATAATATTGCTCCCCTACTCTCGTTTTCCACACATTGCGCAGAATCAGGTTAAGATGATAACCGCGACATGATATAAAGGTTATTGGGTTGTTACGGGATGCTTAAGGATTGTTTAAGCTTTAAGTTGGTGGAAGATTTTTTTGTTGTTCCACGTTGGTAAGGTTTTTGTGCTTAGCGCAGGTACTAGCACAATGGTGACGAACCTGACGTTTCCGCAATTTTCTAGGCATCTGTATTATAAGGCAAATTGCTTATTCCTTAAGTTGAATTGTCCTTTACAAACATAAGAGTAAACCTAGACTGTTCACAGTCCCAATTTTTCCGTTAGCGTCTAGACTGAGCCGTCACCGTCACTGGCAGCCATTTTGTAATTGGTATCGAATTTAACGAGGATGAGGCATCAGGGTTAATAGCGCAATGGCAGCTTCTGGCCTGCGTGGCAGGCGTTAAAAGGGAAAGAGGAAGGGGAAATCGGGGCGCGCGAGAGCGCGAGAGGCGCTTTCCCTTCCCCTTTTAACGCCTGCCACACAGGCTAGTCAAAATCAAGTTAGACTTGGTCAAGATGGCCGCCTGCAGTGCTCGTTCTCGACTATCTTACGGAAAAATAGTCGACTGAGAACGGTCTACAGCAAACCCAACCAGGAAGACATTTCTCCTCGCTAGAAAATTAAAGCAATGAAAATGTAAACCCTTTAACTATTCGATTTAGTTACAAGAACTTTATTCTGTTGACAGATTGAGCCTTTTTCCGAAGTCACGGCAAGTATTCAAGGCTATATATCGGCCCACGCTATCCGTGCTGGTGCCTATGGAGAAGGCACATTAGTGCGAGTTGGGCTCCCTGTGACCCTATCCTATTGTGACAAAAGGTGGTGCATAACCCTTTGTTTGAGTTTGAAAGCACTGGAGCTAAATGCCGGAATTTTTTATCAGTGGGGGAACGTGTGGAAATGGGACTGGGGAGAGCGGCGTACAATTCATGACTTCGGAAAATGGGCTGCGTTACAAACGAACTTGAAGTTGTTTAATAAGTGTACTGCGCCACCTACCCCGAAGACAGACCCAAGTCCTAATCCTATTCCTGATCCCGACCCTAAACCCAACCCAGCTTCAACAACAGCAACCTCAACGACATCATCGATCGCACCAAGTATGGCATCATCTAACAGCTCAGTTACAAGAACGGAAACAACAACTAGCACAATAACGACTACATCTATACTGACATCGACGGTAACTGTTTGTACACCATCACCGTCATATATATTCACATTAGCAGAACGCCTTAACGCAACGATTTCTTCTCTAACAAATGCATCAAGTATGGAAGGCAAATCAAGAAAATTTACCACAACTTCAAAGGCCTCAATATTTTCGTTAGAAGTAATTCCAGCAGTCACGAGTATGGAAGCTAAATTGTCCATAGCCACGGCGGGTTTGACTTCATTGACTTTGCAAGAAACAACACCACTGCCACAAACAAAGACTACAACAGATGCACAGACTAGAACAGCAACAGCAGTAAAAACACTGGCCACAGAAACTACAGCTGGAAGCAATTCACCTACTACCGCGCCAGGAACGAAAACAACGGAGACTAGAACAGTTTCTTCGTCGACAGTCAGTGTGCCAAAAAGTTTGCTAAAAGTTACACCAACAACAGGTACAGAAGATACGCCCACAACGAATATGTCAGCTGCAGAGACTTCAACTACACAAACAAAAATAACGCCAACATCAGGGGAAGCAACCTCCGCACAAGGTTTACTTGATCTCACAGTAAGTGCTCCGACAACAGTTGCAGTGGTTCACGTAACAAGGATGGATACCGCTAAGGCATCCGTCACAAATACAGCGACATTTACTCCTTTATCAAAAGTCAGTTATCCATCAACTGTAATCACACCAAACAAACCAGTAACAACTACAAACACTGAAGGAATCACACCGTCAACAGCTTCCGTCATTACAGCTATTACATCAGCAGTGGCGTTAGAGGCTGCGGAAATATCATCAACAACAACTCTGGACATTGGATCAACTACATCGGCATCACCAACGGAAACTTCATCAACGAAGACTACAGCGATACTAACCGTTAAAGGGACAGCGGCAACTCCATCTACAGTACTAACTGCAGCCACAGTTGGATCTTCAGCTACAGAAATCATTTCACCGGCACCAGAAAACATGCCATCAATAGCCTCAGATTCTTTAGCTACAACGATCAACTCGGAGGTATCATCAGTGATTAAAGCGACTACATCAAGAAACGCTGAAGCGTCTACACCAGAACTTACCTTTATACTGACCACATCGGCTACAGCAACTACACCAACACAAGAAGTTCCTCTCACTTTTCCCGAGGCTGTGATTGAACCAGCAATTGAGAACTAACATTTTCTGATGTGGTCTAGCGGAAACAGTAACTGCTCATGCTAATTGTAATACTGAACTGTAAATTCATACATGCCGCGATAACGCATCGATTCGTCCCTTCAATTTGTCACTGAGCTTCATATTATTCACTTGATGAACTTTTTAAGCAGGAGCCCCAATCGGCTCCTGTTTCATGTTAGTCTGTTCCAGGCTCCAGGATAGTGATGCAAGCGGATCGAGAAAAGTTGCGCGAAAACCGCCGGAGGGGGGGGGGGGGGGGGGGGGGGGCGGGAAGTGGGGGGATTGAGGTATTGAAAGAACAGGCTCTTCCCTTCCCTTCCCCACCCCCCACTCCACACACACCCACACATGCATATTAAAAAACTTTAATATCCCTCCGTGGTCCCTGATCAATCGATGAATCGATTTCATTAACCAAACACTAACTCAGTCACTTACCCTCTCATTCACTAACCCACTCACTCGATCAATGAATCAATTACTCAACCAATCAATCAGTCAATCAATCATTCAATCAATCTGTCTATCGATCGCTCGAATAAATGAATGAATCAATGAATCAATCAATCAATCAATCAATTCGACTCCCCCCGGACGAAGCTTTTTTCTCTTTTTTCTTGGTCGTTTTGTTTTGTTTTTGTTTTTAAACACAAATTGTTATTTTTTTTACAGACTTAGATTGTAAGTTAATTATCAGCTTTCATTTCTAAAATAATTAATCCACAAGTAAGCCATAGACACCCTTTGATTTTTCTTTTGTAACATTATTGTTGCATTTAGTGTGACAATTTCCCCCGGGGACAATTTACTTCACGCTGATAAATTTGCGGGATAATATCTTTATCAGTAATACTGGTCACCAATTCTGATAAAGAATTCAAAAACCTTTTAGCAGAAGAAACCTTGATGCCAACTATCGATAACCTACCGTAAAATTCCGAAAATAAGCCTCGGGGCTTATATTTTTCAAAGGCCCTTTTTGAGGGGCTTATTTTTGGAGGGACTTAAGTGCGGAGGGAAATTTGCGTTTCAAAATCGATTGAACTAGCTTGTAGTGGGAAGGAGATTTACCATTTTTGCTTTGTTTTACTTTTTATTCGAGGGCAAATTCCAATTACAAGCCCCCGCGGGGCTTATATTCGGAGGGGCGATTTAACGGAGGGTTTTTTGCGTTACGATTTTGAGGGGCTTACATTTGGAGGGGCTTATACATGGAGGGGCTTATTTTCGGAATTTTCCGGTACCTTTCAATGATTACTTGGTTCGAATAAGTCAGCGCATGCTCAATAGCTGCGTCTAAAGACTGCTGGTCCTTTACCAGTCGCACTGATTTAGAATCTTCTCCTTTGCTTGCCTTGACAACACACGGGTACTTGATATGCTCAGTTGGTATATATGGGGTCTCCTGTGAACAAAACATATAGTCACGTTACGTTTTAACTAAATCGACACCCAAACTCTCAATCAAGGGAACTTGCTCACAGGTCACCCATGCGACCATGGCGTTTTGAAACTAGTCTTCAACTCTATACACTACAAATCACATGAATTAAGATCTGTTTTAGCCCCCAAATTGGGGCAATTTCTCTGAGTAAAATCAGAAGCATATAACCCCAACTAGTTATGGCATTTGAATAACGTCAAAACGTGTTTAACTTTCAATGTCAACTATCAATAAGACCTAAATAAGTTCGAAGTATTGCGCATTCGGAAAGTTTACAAACATGAATAGAATCCGTCCCGGGCAGCATTTGGTGATACCGAACTAAAGATTACCAGTGACGTCAAACAAAGATTCAATACATACCGTAAAATTCCGAAAATAAGCCCCTCCGTGTATAAGCCCCTCCAAATATAAGCCCCCCAAGCTCGTAACGCAAAAAAGCCTCCGTTTAATCGCCCCTCCAAATAGAAGCCCCCTCGGGGGCTTGTACTTGGAAATTGCCCTCAAATACAAAGAAAAACAAAGCAAAAACGGTAAATTTCCTTCCAACTATAAAACTAGCCCAATCGATTTTGAAACGCAAATTTCCCTCCGTAGATAAGCCCCCTCCGAATATAAGCCCCTCCAAAAATAAGCCCCTCATAAAGGGCCTTTGAAAAATATAAGCCCCGGGGCTTATTTTCGGAATTTTACAGTATATGCTTCTGGTAAAATACAGTCGTATTCAAGCGAGGGATGGAGACATAACACAAATACGGAAGTTGCTAACGGGTACGAACTACCTTCAGACTTTTGTACCACGTAAAAATGTTTAATTTGTAACCGGCGTTAAGCACTAATGTGTAGCTAATTATTGTTGAATGTATATACTAAGGAAACGCGATTCTGCTTCTCACGACTTCGTGCCCTTTTTTGTTACTGGTTCACATGAGCAGAGAACAATCCATGTAGGACTGAAAATGCTGGTGCTCCGAAACCTTCGCACAAATGTAATGACAGTGTGCTTACTTAGTGCAAGGTCTTTGCTTTATTCATATACATCTTAGCCACTAGAAGGTCGGTTATGGTCACTGGAGTGTAACAAGAGCTCATTATATTTTAACAATGACCTCTCACTCAGGTCCGTTGACCAGCTTATCATTGGCTAGACTTTCTAAAAGTCCTTTAATTATTTTTTTTGTTCTTGGTTGGTTATATCATTTAAAAGGACTTTTCATACCTGTTTGGCGCTAATTCACCGGTCGAAAATTCCACCGGTAACGTCATAACAATTATCCAATAGGAGAGTGAGTGATACACAGCCTCCATTGTCAATCAGATTTTCCCGCGTAAATATCATGATTTAAATCCATTCAGGTGAAATAAGTCGACCTCGCGACTTTTTCGCTCGCTCGGTGGCTGCCCGACCTCATCGCTCGTTTTTAAAGAACGTATGACAGGTCGACTAGTAGCAAGTCTAATCATGGGCCTGACTATCAGGCTTTTCTGAAGGGAAGAGAGAAGCAAAAAATGGCCTCTCCCCTAACCTCGTCAACCTCTAGCTAGTCAGAATGATGTTAGCTCAATATTTGTCACCCTTGAAAGGATTTTGATGCTAAAGGTGCTCAGTTCACCGTAACATAGCACATGGTTGTAGTAATGGGGTGGAAAGTAACGGATTTGAGCATATTCTGAATTGGTAAAACAAAAAAAGGCACCTGGTTTGAGCCACGTTTGAGCCACGCACAATGCAGGTCACGTGATAATATTCTCGAGAATTGTTTCGTTCAGGCCGTGTCCACACGGATCCGGATATTTTTGAATCCGCAACTGTTTCTTTCCGGATACGGCTTTCGTCCACCCGTATCCAGTGAATCCGGCATACGAATCAGTACCTTTTTAATCCGCTCTCTAGAGTGGAAAATTTTGAATGTGCCGTGAAATCCGGAATCGTGCGGACGCTTAATCCGGATATTTTTATCCGGTGACGTAACAATATCGAGCCCAGTTCTTTACCGTGAATACTGTATTCACGATGGCGACCTCGACGCTTGATCTGTTGCCAATTTTCCCAGAGGAGCCCCCTCGGGTACCAGAGTGAATCCCGATTCGGGTGGACGGGCAAATTCGATTTAAATACGCATACGCGTAGAAAGTTTTGAAACCGGAAAAAAAAAGTTGCGGATTCAAATATATCAGGATACGTGTCTTATAATTCACGATTTTATTCACGTTTATATGTAGGCATAATTAAACTGAACTTAAAGGGCCAAATTCCCCTAAAACCTACAAGTTAAAGAGATCCATGTACTAAAAAAGCCGTGTGTCGGAACCTACTTTTTTTAAGTCTGGCAAAAAAAGTTTCTTGAATTTTTGGCAAGTTATTGACAATTTAGGCTTAGAAGGTTCTTAATTAGGTTCTTTCATTTCCATGAAGGGGATATAGTTATTGACTATCAACTGAGCAAACTAAACATAAATAAACTTGGGTTTGGTCCTTAAATATATAGTATTTATTCACAAAGAGTGATTTTACTTAACAGAATATTCTGACAATTTCCTGACCGTTTGACCACAAGCAAAAACAATAGAAGTAGTTCAAAAAATGGTGTAAGTACTCTAAGATACCGTAAATTCATATACTGCTCAGTAAATCTTCGCTTTCCGTAACAAAGCGTTCTGAACCATTAAATCAAACAAACTTTCATCGGTAAAACCAGAATTCCTGGCAACTACATTAAGAAAACTCTGAAAACCAAACGAACAGAACAAGTTACATTCCAGAAAAAATGGATTTCCTTCGAGGTCTACCCGGAAGTCGAAAAGGCCAAAGTCTTGCAGGTCTAACTCTAGAAAAGCTCGACGACTTTGTAACTGGATGCGGGTTATCAGTTCAGCTTCCTTTGCGGGATCAAGAAACCAAGTCTTACTTTTTGGTGCCTTGCCTATGTAAAGATAGATAAAAAAAAGTAACAACTCTCAATGTAAAATCATCTCGATAGTTTACTATTATTTGATACCAATGACTGGCCCGACGGAGAACACAGACCTGTTTCTGTCTGTCGCCTAGATCTCTCCGCTGAGAGAAAAGCGATTGCTAGAAATATATCTAAGTTTATCTTACTAATTCCTTTAACCAATAGGCCATTTCGCACGATGACATGATTTTACTACTACGACCAGAACCCTTCAGGGCTTTGCTTTCTTGTGCTAATTAGGGCTTTTGTTATTCAAACCTCACTGGGATTACAAAATTTAAATATTAAAGGAAAACGAAAAGGATTATGGTCGTAGTAGTAAATAAAATGACGCCATCGTGCAGATGGCTTACAGTCGACTCTCTCTTAACGGACAGCTCTATAAGACGGACACCTCTGTAAAACGGACACCTAGAGTTGGTCCCTTCCTTTGTTTATTCCCTTTATTTGACTCTTTATAAGACGGACATCTCTCTAAGACAGACACTTAGTGCCGGTCCCAAAGGTGTCCGTCTTAGAGAGAGTTGACTGTATTGATTTGTTTGGGGGTTTACCGAGGTGTACATGTGACTGATGGTACATATTCTTTTCACTGATCATAACTTAGTGTTGGGCAATTAATGAATTAACAAGTGTTGATATGAATTTAATGGATCAAGCCAAGATTTATGATTTATTTTGAATTTGTTTATACGAATGAAGAAAAATGTGATACTCACAAATAGGTAATCCTTTTTCATCGCAGAGTAACTTATCCTGGGTTGTACGAATGCCATCCTGACGTACGTTGAATTCTATACACGACAAGGCCTGTATATCTCCAGTTTTTTCTGATTTGACTACAGCGCACCGAATCTCTCGTCCCTCTATGAATCTGTACAAAAGCGGTACAAACATGCCTCAGCGCAAAGATGCACAGTGCATATACAGCTATTTGGAGAAAGGTTGTCGGAAAAAAGTGCTCGAGACAATCCTGAAAGGTATTGTAGGTGGTTTTGAGTTCACTGTCCTCAAAGGAATTTGAAAGAATGGTTCTAGAGCCTATAACAAAAGTAGGTTCGACAGCTACATTGTCGAGAACTGTAACTTTCGGGATTGCCTCGTTCATATTTTTTCCGACAGCCTTTCTCGAGATAGCTGTTTAGCCAAAATGTTTGTATCCATGTCGCTTTATTTATTTATTTTCGATTTGTGCCTCCTTTTCTTACCGTACCTGTCAACGAGGTAAGCTTTGTCCAAACTCTTCAAAGGGGTGGCTGACTGCTACCCAGCCGGGATTTAAGAACATTGAGGGATGACGTTTTACGTGCGTACGATGCTTTCCGCACTCTCCCTTTCAAATGGGGTTTCACTTTTTATTAATCATTTGGGCCACTTTTCTGACAGTGAATTATTTGCGGGGAAGAAAAATTTTAGTGCTAAATGCCGAAACTTTGGCAGTGATAAGGATCAGCTACTGACTGTCGCCCCAAATATTCTCTTTTTAATTAAAAGCTTAAATGTTTGGAATTGGGAATAGTTTTTAAAACGCGAAAAACAGATAAGACAAGAACCTACCTTTCAATGATTACTTGGTTCGAGAAAGTCAGCGCATGCTCAATTGCTGCATCCAAAGACTGCCGGTCCCTTACCAGTCGCACTGCTTTAGAATCCTCTCCTTTGCTCGCCTTGACAATACAGGGATACTTGATATGGGCAGTTGGTATTGGGTCTCCTGTGACCAAAAAAATAAATTATCACTTTCAATAATCTCACAGTACGCTACAAGGAAGCAAGTTCAAGTTTATTTATCACAATACATTTTCTTACACACAGTTCTTACTCGCAAAATTGATAATCAGTGCGGATAGGAATGAAAATTAAAAGTCACAATAGCTAGGATTTAACAGAAGAGGAAGAACAGATCCATCAAATATTACGGTGCTGGTGTGTATGACCTTTTTTTTGCTTAGTAGAATCTTTACAATGTCCCCATAAGGAAAGCAATTTTTTTGTGGATATCGATTTTTCATTGCCGTGATTCAGGACGTACCAAAAAAGTGAAATTCACTTTCGGTGGGGTACAAAACCGTATAACTGAAAACAGGAGACAGGAAATGATTGTGACGTCATTTCAGGACATTCTGTTTTACGGCAAGCAAATTTCCTAGTCGTTTCTTGTTTGCCACGAAACAGAACATCCTGAAATGATGTCACTGAATGATTGTGCGGTTTTTATATTTACAGGAAGTAAAATTTCCCGTGACACGGGAAAGAATACCGTATTTATTCGAATAAGCGCCCAACCTCGAATTAGTGCCCACCTCGAATAAGCGCCCATCCTAAAGGCAGAAAAAGTTAATAAGCGCCCAGCCTCGAATCAGCGCCCACCCCTCCCCCTCCCAATCAAACTCAAATAAGCGTTCACCCCCACCCCACCTACTTAAGTGAATAAATGCTAATAAGAGTCTTCCCCGAGGACGGAGTTTTCTTCAGAGTATTTTACAGACACCTTGCTTTGTTACTTCTTTGCGTTTTGTTATTAGCATTTATTGTTTTGTCGCAAAATAAACATACTTCACTTGCTGAAAATGGTGAAAATTTAATAAGCGCCCAGCCTCGAATAAGCGCCCACTCTCAAGGTCCAAAAATTTATTAAGCGCCCAGGGCGGTTAATCGAATAAATACGGTAATTGATATCGAAACTTTTGCTGTCCTTGTCAGGATACTGTGTAGATTTTATCAAGAGAACACCGGAAAACGTTGTCGCATTATGACAGTTGATCCAAGAGTCTCTGGCCGGCGTAAAAACGTAGGCATTATACCGCAACTTACTTAGGAAGTTCTTAGTTCACCGTTGCCTGACTTCGCAATGGCAAAACACGAATGACGGTCCATGGTCTTTATTGTACCGTGGAACTGCAGGATTAAGTTTTTCCTCTGATTAACTGGTGATATTTCATAAAATTTTTAAGATACCATTTGTTTGGTGGACTTATCGCTGTAAACAGACATTCGTCATGCGATAAAGTTGTATTGTGGACTTTATGTACGGAGAGCGTCCGGCTGGTTTGAGGCTCTCGTGTTGTTTGTGCAACGAACTATTCTGTTAGTTCTATCAACTCGAAAAGAGGAGAGTGGATTGTGGAGGTGATACCCCAGATCTAGACTCAAGAGAATTTGCTTAGAGGTTACCCATGCGGCTTAAACTCGATCATATCTGTCCCATTTTAACAGTTATAGACCTATACCTTTGTTAAGAACCAATCCCTCGGCACAAGAGACATTGTTGTAGGCAAGCAAAACTCCCCGTGTCTTTAGTTTGTCCATGCTAAGGTATCGCGATTCTGCTGATCCACCAATGAGAGGAATATCCAGCGCTTCAAAAAGAGCCCTTTAACAAGAAGAACAGGGGTTCAGCAACAATGCAACACCGACACTAGGTCGAGCAGATGAAGAATGAAGGGGTCATTTTCCAAAGAAACTGTGGTGTTGCGTCGGGGGTCAGTGAAATGCGAAAACTTGGAGTTGATAAAGTCGATTGGATTGGTTTTGTGAGTGCACAAGGCACTGTAGCATAAACCAAAATTCAATTTTTCCATATGAATTGTATAATGAAACACTTCTTTCAACTTGGCTGACAATTTTTCATCTCGTGGACGCACGTTTATATGTTCACATTCATACAAAAATATACGCCTTGTGAAATTACGGCACAAGCTGCACAAGTTAAGTTTTCTTGGTCAATACCCATCTTGTGAAGGCAGCGTAGTGGGAGACGAGACTATGAGAGTAACAAGGCCTTTAATTATTCCTTTTACCTGCTTAGATTCTCCTGTCGCATTATGACACATCAGCAAGACCGGTAGCTACCAGTGGTAGCTTCTCCTTCGCTTATCTAGTCGGACCCCGGTTCCCACTCAGTTATGAAGTTTTTGTCCCCGGCAAAAATACTTAAAATCATCATCATCATCATTATCACCATTATCATCATCATCATTGTCGCGTCGTCGTCGTCATCATCATCATTATCACCATCATCATCATGAATAACCAATGAGAATAATAGGACAGAGAGTAGGGAATCTTAGGGCGTTGGCCGGGATCTGTGAATTTCATTTATGTTAATCGATTGTTTGAAACGTCATCAAGTCCACTTGCGCCTACATTAAAGCAAACAATGCAGAACATTTTAATGAGGACTGTTAAATTCTTTCTTGAAAACACTGAATTAAAGTTTTCAGGCCTCTCCAGAAACAAACGTCCGATCAATTTCCTGCCCTTAATTGGTCTAAAAATATCTTAGGGGAAATACTGAGCGCTAGACTGGGCGTTTTCTTCTCTGTCCTATTATTCTCTCTTGGAATAACATAAAAGCTATTATTCTGACCTGTAAGTTGTCATTCCTTTCAAACATAGAAAGTGGAGCAGTGTCAGATCAGGTTTGACGACAGATTTTATGTGCTGTAAGGCGGCTGTGATGTCCATCTTCTCCACATTGTTTTCTGTTTCCTCTAATCTTTCCACGTCTACAATATCAGAGAGTTTTTTCGCAAATGACCAGGTGCCATCAGGTCGAACTAGCGCGTAGGTAAAGGAATACTTTCCAGATCCCGTGCCATCATCAAAGGAGCCTCCATAAAACATATCCAAGGAGAAGCTGTAGTCATCCGAGGGTGAACCCAAAACATGCAAAATCTGAAAAAGTAACAAGAGAAGGAGCCGCTTTTTATAAAGATCCATATAAATGGCTCCAATTTTTAAAAGAGATACCTGTGACTGTTTTCGATTTTGTTATAGGCACTTGTTTACTTTAATTTTTTTAAAAGGGAACTGAATTATTACTCACACCACAGGTACAAAGGTCCGTGTTAATTAACCCCGCAAGGAACATATCACAATAACTTATATGCACCCTTTTCAAAATGATGGCAACACGACTTCAGTTTTCTTTCATATTTATAATATTTAGTCCTCTTAGCTTTGCCTGCACCGGCCAAATTTAAAAGTAGCTTAATCGAAGAATGGAGGGTTATTTTGGAATAGCAGGGTGATGGTGTTTTACTACCTTCAAGGTCTCCTTCACCATTTTCTTCTGTAGTCAGTTGATTCAGAAGTCTAAAGTCTGCAAATACAAATTATCCAGTATCAAAATCAAAATTAGGATCGACGCGTTACAGGCTCTACTGAACCGATTGCATGGCAGCCTGAGAAAACAGCGCAGCCGACATTTGGAGACGTCACCACTGGTTAGGCTGTTTTCTTAGGCTAGGCTAATCAATAGCGCATCAATAGTCTTTTCAGAACAAAGAATGCGAGTGAGGGTTTCGTTGGGACAATGAAAGAGGACAAAGTGGAAAATTCAATCGTTGCCCTTGAGTTCTACAATTTTCACTTTAATGCAGACAGAGTAAAACAGTACGGGCTGTCCAGGAGGCCGTAACTCGGATCACTTGGGGTCGACTTCAGCCATTTCGAAATGGTTGACCCTAAGCAGTGTATCCTGGATCCATTGTGGTAATTTTTCAAATTTTGCTGCCGCTGCTATCGCTGCAATCGCTGGAGAGTGGCTTCCTCAAAATCGATGCGGGGGGGGGGGGGGGGGGCCCCCTTCATGGGCTTCTGGGGGCGGGGGGGGCGGGCGAGGAGTGTTTTTTGGGGTTTTTTTTTTTAAAAGGGGGTCCGTTTTTTGTATTTTTGTTTTTATACGTGGTAAAAAGGTTTTTGTTATTTCCGGGT